ATCTGTTCCTTATCTTTTACTGGTTATGCTTTATAGAGTCTGAAGAAACACTCATTGCCATGTAACATCTTATATCCTTTTATCTCAAGACTTGGTGAATTCTTGTTCACTCTATCTTTGATCCTGAGGGAGTTACAGAGCTCTGAGTGTGTGTCCCTGGTGCTGGGATGCTGGGAGAGCCTTGCTACAGACAGAGCCTCCTAAATGCCTCCCTCCAGTTGTGGGAACCTGTGGCTATTCAGGGCCCAGAAGCAGAAGGAAAGCTTGTTTGACGTGACCTGAAGACAAACACCCATCAAGGACAGAGCTGATGCTCAGGCTCCTTCCTCTTCCTGCTCCCAATGGCACTCCCCCCAGACTCCAGATCCATCTGTGAAAGGGTAAGCACTTCACCTGGAGTATGGTGATTACTTATTATGGGGTGGGGAGTTCTTTGATGATGATGGAATTGAGGCTGCAATATATTTTTGCCAACACTAATTTTTGTGAATTGGATTTATGACATCAAATCACTTCCAGTAATACATGCATCATGTTCTCATTTGTCCTTTGTTTTCTGACCCCATTGCCCCAAAAAAGGCTATAACTCCAGGGGATGGAAAGTTATTTGTTCATTAATAGTGAACTCATTCTCTCATCAACTGACCGTCTACTGGTGGTCCTCCAACAGCTCTGTCTGTGAGACTAAAATGCCCTCTTGAACCTCAATAAACAAGTAGCCACGTATTTAGGGGCAAGAACTAAAACACTCTAGCAATAAACACCACCAGACTGAAATATCCCCCTTGGAAGGAAGCCTCATTGAATGCCAGGGGTTTAGAACTGTGCTCAGCTTCAGAGGTCTTGAGCAGTCAGTGCATGGCTTCTAAATGTGTCATATCTAATTCATTTCTTTAGGAAAAAAGAAAAGGCTAACTTTCTAGAAGTTCATAGAAGACAGAAAACTAGGAGACTAATGCCGCAAACCAACACCCACACCATTCCACTGCAATGCTGCCCCTCCCCCTTTGTTTCAACTTCAAGTAGAAGTGGGTGATCACAGACATCCAGACAGGAGACTGTGGATGTCAAATTCTGCCACTGTCCTTGACTCTCTGGGCCTCGGTATACCACATATGGAAAATGGGAGGAAGGACACTATAGTTTCTGATAAGAGGCTTTAGGTCTCTTCCTTTGCTTCAAGAAAAGACAGATGAGCAGGTCTGGGAAACTGAGGGCTCAGGCTGCTGGCAGAATTCAAGGACACTAGAGGGACAGCAGGCTGGGACTGGGGAAGGCCTTTGAGGGCTCTGCCTAGCAGTATCTGGAAGTCACTTCTCTTTTGAAGAACCAGGAGTCATTGCAAAAAAATCTTCCGAATCCTGATGCTGCCTCTTAAACAAGCGACATAACAGTTTCTGTAAGCAGGCAACATTCTCTAACATAAAAAGCCAACTTTGCTGCCCAGACCTCAGGGGGGCCTTGACCAGCGAGCATTTCCAGACATTCCCTGGGCAACTGACAGCATTTCAAGCCACGTCTGACAGGTTACCACTGCTCCTTGTAGCTCAGGGGTCACGGGGAAGCTAGCATTTTAAGAACCTTCTACACTACAAACGAGACAGAGGTGAGTGGGCAGGGTTTTGCCGGAGCTCGATGTGCAACAAACCACTCACCCAAACCGCCCTGATCACTCACGGGCATTTCATGGCTTGTCTCCAGTCTCAGGCTCGAGGATCAGAGAGCTTACTCCAGAGCTGGAGGGAATAATTGGAACAGCACTAACTGGATCTTCGCAAAGAGAGAATCACTGCAAGGAGCCTCCGACCCTCTGCCAGAGCCCCAGGCTGGGTGTTTAGCTGAGTAACTTGGCCCAGGGTGGGGATGGCTTATTTTTCTCAATGACTAAGCTCTCTGCAGCCCAATCACTCAAATCCCAGATGGGTTACACAGACCAGAAGCTCGCCATTCCTTCTCCACTAGAGTCCGTGGCGGCTCCTCTCTTGTCCGTGATATTTACTGAGCTCTCGCTATGCACTTGTCCTGTGCCTGGTGAAGGTGGTGACGGGTATTGTTTCTGCTTGTGGGATCTCACATTCCTGAGGCAGACACAGACACGAAGGCAGTTACAGTACCAAGTGTCCCACAAGCCTGGCATTGCCCGACGATCTGCTCACCTTCCATGCTTGGGCTAAATGTCTCCTCTTAGACTGTTCTCACATCCTCCTTCTCCCCCTCTCATCTCATGTTCCTCTCCCCTCACAGTTTGAGCCACACGGGCATCCTCTTAGTTCTTCAAACACATCATCCTGCCGTAGGGCCTTGGCCCATGCTGTTTTCTCTATCTAGAACATTCTACCCCTCCACTCTTGGTTTAAAGACACCACCTCCGAAAGGCTTTCCCTCACCATCCCCTATAAAGCAGGCCTTTCTCGTTCTCTTTCTCTCAGCACCATCCGTATTCCCCTGTAACACTTAACCAAAATCTGAAATTACATACTTATTTGTTTGGTTACTTTATTTCTGTCTCCCCTACCAGATTGTAGTCTCCACGTGAGCAGGAATGGTGTCTGTCTTGTTCCCCACTGCCCCTCGCCACGTTCTGCACAGTGCCTAGAACTGCTAAATGTTCGATAAACAGTTGCTGAACAAATGAGTGAAAGATCTTTTCTGTAATAAGGGATTAAGAAATAGGAAGGCAACAGACTCTGGAGGGCTTTGTTAGCAACGATAAAGGCTCTGAGCTTCGTTTTAGCTGCAAGAGGAAAGCTATCTAAGCATTTTAAGTGGGGGAGACACAGGAACAGACTTTTATTACAGAATTATCCCCCCTCTTCTGTCATGTGGAAATGGACTTTGGGGGCAGGGAAAGGCAGACTGGAGGTAAGGAGGTCTTTTAGGAGGCGCCTATAAAAACCAAAATCCTCACTACTCAAAGTGTGGTCCATGGACCAGCAGCATGGACGTCACCTGGGAATTTGTTAGAAGTGCAGAATCTCAGGTCCCACACCAGACCTGCTATATCATAATCTGCATTTCCACAGAATCTCCAGGTGATTGTTCACACACCTAGAAGCTGGGCTTTAGGTGAAAGACAGCGATGGCCTGATCTGCCTTTGGGGAGAGGGGGATAGAACTGATTCATCAATATCCCCTATAAATTCACTATTCCAGACGTGTGCAGGGTGTCAGAAGCAAGCCCTGTTACTATAAACTATCTCAAACTGCGATTCCATCAGGGGTCAAGGAGAGTAGGGGAAGGGTGAAGGGTGGGTACACTGAGCTAGGCTGGGGCTATTTAGCCAGGAAATACTAGCTGTGACCTTGGGCAGAGAAGCTGCAATTCACAGGGCAGGTCTGAAGTTGGGGAGCTAAGGATTACTGACTCTGGCCATGAGGAAGAGCCCATGTTTTTATTTCCACTGCATTGTAAGTTTCCCCAGCACCTGACACAGACCCTGGCACATAAGAAGGGCTCAATGATACTTGTTGAAAGAACAAAGGAATGATCAAGCGGTAATTATGCTATCGAGGTCCTAAAGCAGATTATACGGGTCTGGGTACAAGTTAAACATGCCTTCTGGCCTCCTGTTTTGTTAAATATATTCCCTTTGGTTAGAAAAATGTGAAAATCTGAGAGGATAAAACATACTTTCAGTGAACAAAAATATATGACCTGTGCAATACAGAATCAGTAGGAAAGCATGGCACAGCCTCGAAATAACCTGGATAAGCCTGTAAGGACAGCAGGCAGCGAGGGTCCTCCCAGGCCCGTGCAATCTCCATGGTGTAAAGGTCAGGATGGTGAGGGGATCACGGAGAACAGAAGCTGTCAGCTGTGTGTGCACTAGGGGAGGGACAGAGAGGGGGTACAGCAGAAAGGCCTGAACGCCACATGGCAGTGTGGCCAGAGGTGACCACGGTGTCACCAATAGCAACCCTCTTTAGGCCCAGACTCCATTCTGCAAGTGAACCTGACATAGAAAAACACGAAGAGAGATGAAAGCAGTGCGGCTCTGGCTGGAGGAGATGGAGGGTCAGAGCTCCACTCCTCGCCCCCACCCATGTCTTACAGAAAACTCCTGAGATACCCACGCACCAACTCTTTCACACCTAGCACAGCGCCGGGCACTGAGGAGGCGCTGATTTATATTTGCTGAGTAAGAGAACAAATAAGCAAACTCCTGTCAATTCTGTGGTTTCCCTTTCTCTAATTCATTACCCCAGTGAAATGTGCCCATCCCCAACACAAATGGACGCCTTCATCTCAAGGAGACTATGGGGAGTTCCAAGAACAAATTATCACCTCCTTTCTCTTTTCTCCACCCTGATGATCCCTGCCTCCCTGCCTGTAAATCCTATTATTAGAGCCCAGATGAAATGCCCCTTCTCTGTGAAACTTCCCTCGTCCCTCCAATAAGAAGAAATAGACCCATTTTATCTGCAGTCCCCTTTTCCATGAAACTATTTTCTGAGGTAAAATGACCTGTCACCATACTTGCTTCCCTCCTCCATTAGACTGTAAGCCCCTGGGCCCCCCTGAGAAGGGAACAGCCCCTGAATGCCCCCAGGGCCTGGGGCAGAGCTGGATGCATTCTAGAAGTACAATAAATGCAGGTGAAACACGTGCTGCCATAGCATCCCTTCCTGTCACCACACTGCCCAGGAGGCAGCATCCTGGGCCTCCCTCATGTCTTTGCTCCCCATCAGCTAGGCTGTATGACTCGCATCTTTGGAACAGCTTGCCTCCTTACCTTCTCCAGGAAGCTCATCTAGTTTAACTTCAGGATCACAGGCCACTCTGAGAATCACCGTCTCTCCTCAGCCCTTGACCGCTCCAGTCACATAGGATGTAACATTTTTATCATGTCTCTTGGCTAGAGAGACTGTTCATGTGGCAGCTTCTCAAGGGCAAAAGTCTGCAAAGCTTCACAAAACTGTGCAGGTTTTGGCACAAAGACTTGTCAGAACAAGCACACATGGAGCATTTTTGATGACAAAAAAGAACGAAGATGACCAACCTTGGATGTATAGGTGTGACCGTCGGAGCCGCAGACCATGGCCAACTGTGCCACAGGGCAGGGCTTGCACTTGACCAGATTCGAAGGTCCAACCCAGTGTTTGTGGGCCACGTTCCCCTTCTTTTGCCTAAGGATGAAAAAAGAGGAGATAAGTTAACTGAAGCTCCAGTCCCCATGGGTCTATCCTCCAGGTCACCCGGATAAAGGCCAAATAAATAAAACAGCTGGTCAAACACTCCCATTTGTTCCAACCCAGTGATAGGGGCAGGAGACTGTTGCAAAAGCCTAGGTTCAACCCACCAGCTGGACCCAGGAGAACAATGTGGCCATTAAAAATGTTGTAAAACATTATTTACTGACATGCTAAGACATTCAAAATACATTTAAAAAAAACAATGGCTCTGTGCAGTGACCCAGCCCTAGACCCAGTATACAGGGTGTGGCACATCACAGATGCCCAGAAACAGCATCCCAGAGCCCCCGACTCCTCCAGGGCTGACGAGCAGCCTTCTGAGTGGGATGACACATAGACGACTCCGTGAGCATTTCAGATAGAAACGCATCTCCAAACACAACCAAATGACTTTATCACAGCTGCAGAAAACGATCTTGGGATACATTTTAAAGCAATTTCAATCCAGCTTCCAATTTGCTATTTGATAGAGGCTCTGAAGTGATGTCACTTTCAACTGCTAAAATAATCAGAATTCTACCCTTTCATTCCAGCTCCAGTTTCCCACATCCTAACCTTTGTCATAATGATAAATGGTGCTATTAGGATGGCTTATGTCCACGGAAGGAACCCCATCCCTGTATCATAAACCACTGAAATAAACACCTACAGTTATGGCTACCCTTTCTCTCATAGTCAAGGCTACTCTCCCAGCAAACCACTGGGAGTGACTCTCATGGCGTGGGGCTGAGTACAGGGTGGAAGACAAGTGTCTCTGGCCTGCCCATCAATCAGGCGATTATTATGCCCTTGAAGTGTTTTGCACTAGCAGTCCTGCATGGTGGTTATCGTTTGGGCTCTGGAGTCAAAAAACACAAGTTCAAATCTCAGCTCTGCCTCTTACTCACAGTGTGACCTTGGCAGGATATTTAATCCTGTAAGTCTCAGTTTTGTCATCTGTACAATGGAGGAAAATAGAATCTACTTCAAGCAGATGGCATGAGGATTAAATTAGCTGATGTATATAAAGTACTTGGTAAAATGCCTGGAAAACAGAAAGCAATAAAAATGGAGCTGTTGTTATCATTATCATTTGCCCCAATAGATAGGGCTATAGAGGATGAAATTACCATTGCCACAGAAATGTGACTTAATTCTAAGGCCCTAGGTTTGGAATGGCATTTAATTACCCAGAAGAACTCATGGGGCCACAAGAAGGAAATCTTTTCTACTAGGTGTGGAATGAATCTCCAGTTCCTCAGGAATTAGGGTTTGGTGTCTAAGGTAACCCACCCTCTTCCAAATGAAGGAAAGGGAGTGAGGAAGAGCCCCCACCGACTTAGCTCTTATCCTACTGCCAACCTGCCCTAGCAATTTGATGGTCTGTGTGGGGAACTACCTTTGAGGGTGACATCAAGGAGGACGACCATGTACCCACAGCACAACCCTTGGGACCATTAGGATCCCAGGCTGGACAGGCCATAGAGTTGAGCCTGTCTGACCAATGAACCAGAAAAGGAAGTCCTACAAAGGCTCTTTGAGATCACCTAGCCCAGCTCACTCATTTTACTAATGGGGGAAACCGAAGCCCAAACTGGGGAAGAGTCTTGCCCAAAGTCATGAAGATGATTGGTGGCTAAGCCTGTGATGACATTCACACAGTCTTAGAGTGTCCAGGGATGAATCTCTCTTCTTCAGCCCATCGCAGTCCCACCTAGATTACTAGCTTGAAAATTCTCTGGGGGCACCTACATGTTTGTCATTGGAGGTCTGGTCTCCAACACCTCCCTGCTCCCACAGCGGCACTCACCTTATCCTTGCCTCTCTGTCTGGAAAAAAACATCTATCACTTGCATCTCTAAAGCACATGGACATGAGGTCTCCTATTCCCCTTTGCCAAATACACTTTGCTCTTTCAAGGTTTGTTCTGGACTAACAGAAAAGGGATGGTGGGTGATGGGATTCCAGGCAGCAGACAAGCAGGCTGTCAGCACAGAGTTAACCTCAGAGTACATGATTCCTTCAGCAGAACACCACACATTTATCATCATTCGCACAGCAGATTGTCTGACACTGATAATGAATCAGCAAATACAGGCAGAAGTTCCAGCGTCTGGCAGCCCCTCTCCTGGGTCAGTCCCCAGCATGTGTCCCCACAGCTGAAGCAATTGTTATTATGAGTTCCCAGAAATGGGTTATAAAGTCCAAAGAGTGGGCAGCTTTGCTGGAGCGGACATAACCATGTGCAATGATACCCTGGAGGAAAGAAGTCTGAAGGAGCTTAGCCAAAGGCAGAAGAGAGAGAAGTGAACACTGAGCCAATGGCTTTGAGGAAAAGATGGAACCAGCTATTAATCACCCGTTAATGATAGGTCATCTCCGTCTCTGGACCTGAACTTCACCATTAAATTAAATTCATTAAGGGGAGGCAAAGAGATGAGGCTGGACAGCGCTTACTAATGGCCTGGAACATCACGGATGCTCAGTACATCCATGTTGGGTAAGTGGCTGGGTCCATATGCGCTGACCACTGCAGTGATTACTCAGCAGTTAATCACAAAATCACAAACTATCAGAACCAGAAAATACCTTAAAACTAATCTAGTCCAACAACTTTATTTTATAAGTGAGGAAGTGGACACACAGAGGGGAAGTGACTTGCCCAGTGTCACATAGAAATATGGCAAAATGACATATATTTGTCGGATTGAAGTTATCTTGGAATGACAGTGCTGCTCTGGGACCATTTTAATTCCCTATTTTGGTATTTGTATTTTCATTATCAGGGTTCAGTTTTATAAATAAAGCCCCTCTGAAACATTGTCCCTGGCTCTTCACCTGCAGAAAAGCGAGCTCAGCATATCCAATGTCAGGTGGTCATGGATTAAGCCCAAGAGGAACCACGTTTGACCTCTCCTAGGATGCCTTGGGGACTAGAGGTACAAAGGCCCAGCCATTCCAAATTTTCCCAATTCTAATGAAATAAGCATACCTGTTATACTGAGGTAAATGCAGGTGTTCATTACCTCACTAGGACCCCAATGGAGATGGCACCTAAATTCGTGGTCTCTGTCCAGAGGCCAAATTATGTAAAGTTATATACAAGTATATGTGAGCTCAAGGAGGCATAACTTTCCTGGTTATTGTGTGTATATTTCAATCCCCACAATCCAGTGCAAACCATAAAAAATAACCAACCCTGTTGAGGCAAGGGACTAAGTTTTCTGACTCTAAGATATTTCACTTCTTGAGTCAATGAAGAGTGAAATCCGATGAAGGTGTCTTGATGGGATTGTTATTCCCAGTGTCACAGACATTCATCAACTGGGGTGACCCAACCAATTTAGTCTGAGATGCAGGTCCTGCCAGCCTTTCCACTGGCCATGACGCCCAACCCCAACCCAGCCTGGCTGGTGCTGGAGGCAGCCATTCCACCCTCCCTGCTGATAGCACCACATGGAAAATCCCAATCTACAAGTACTCCAAGATGGAGAGAAGACAGACAATTGGCAGATCACCAGCATTTCTTATTCTCTTTTGCTCAACTGCTTATTCTCATTTTTTTAAAAGTCTACCAAAATTTCCAGCATTTACGTTTTTGAAGCAGAGTGATGATTCTTAAGTACAAATCTGACGATGTGACTTTCATGCTTAAAACCTCCATCTTCTTGGGGCCAGCCTGGTGGCGTAGTGGTTAAGTTCATGCGTTCCACTTCAGTGGCCCAGTGGCACGAGGTCTCACATCCCGGACTGACCTACACACCGCTCATCAAGTCATGCTGTGGTGGCGTCCCACATACAAAATGGAGGAGGATTGGCACAGATGTTAGTTCAGCAACAATATTCCTCAAGCAAAAAGAGGAAGACTGGCAATAGATGTTAGCTCAGGGCCAATCTTCCTGACACTCACACAAACACACACACACACACACACACACACACACACACAAACAAAACTCCATCTTTTCCCCACCTCCTAAGGCATGGCCTAAACTCCTAGTTTTGGTGTTAAACTGACCAAGACTACTTGCACAGGTTCACTGTCCACTCTGCTTCCCTCCCCAACACACAGATACACACACGCATACATGCACACACTGATCACCACCACCATATATTTCTGCTCTAGCCACCCTGTGCTGTCTCCCAGAGCCCACCAAGGACCTTTGTGCCTCTGTGCCATCATGTAGGTTTTTCCTCAATCTGACACACCTTCATCCCCACCCACATTTCTCCCCTCCATCCTCCACTCCTCTCTGCCTAAGGGGCTTTCTTTAAGGCCCAGCTCAAAAATCCCCTCCCCCAAAAATCCTCCTGTGGCCCTTCCCCAGGGAGTCAGGCTGTGCTCCTATACCACCATCGGCCTATGATCACTTCTGCTCAGGCTCCTGGACTAGTCTCCAAGTGAGCACCTTGATTCGACCCAACCAAATGTTAAGAGGCTACTGTTAGTCCAATAGGACATGGGTATACCCAGGCTATAAACCTTGGATCCCATCCTGCACACCTCCCTTTCCTGCCCTCACCACTTCCCCCCACCATTCAGTCCTATGGATTCTATCTCCAGCCAGCCATATCAGCCACCCGCATGTCTCTTACTGTGTCATGCAAATTCAAGTCTGTATGACTTGGCAAATGCTTTCTATCTGCACAGCACATGTCTGCCCCTTGTTCAAGCTTCACATCCATTGCCTGCCATGAAGTCTCTCCTGACCCTATGAGCCCTATCCCAAGTAGAATTAACTACGACATTATTAGTTCCAACATTACACCTTGTTCAGATCCAGCTGTGACACTCACTAGCATAAAGCAGTTCTTTTTGTGTCTATCTTCCTTAATATACTATGCATTCCTCAAGGGTAGTGACAGGGTCTTAATCATTTTTGTGTGCCTGGTGCTTGGAAGCATGGTTGACCCTCGACATATGGGTTTGCTCAGGGAAATAAGTGAATTTA